ATGAGCGACTTGAAGACTAGGTTGAGTGGGACGTCTTTTATTTGGGTAGCATGTGGGATGTTTACATGTGGAACCAGAGTCCGCTTCCTCCTCGGGGGTCAACGACTTCCGCCCAGTCACGAGGTTGGCGACTAAAAGGTGTATTTGAATAAGCATTTATTCCAATACAGATTGTACCAAGATGCAGTATCACTTTGGGGAGAAGATTTGGCTGAACAGTTAACATGCGTTTTGTGGAGCTAGGTAAGTTTCCTAAGTAACTCACCATCTTCGGCTGCAAGCATTTTTCACTTTAAAAGCGCTTTTTGCAGAATCATTTATTCATAGACACAAGGTGTAAAGTAGTTTTCGACCATCCTTCCCTAACTGCTATCGTTTTAATTCTTCTCAGCGCCCTACCCAGCATAATCACAGCGGCTCGCACCGTGGAGAACAATCGAGTCTTGAAACCATGCCAAAATCAGTGTTTCCATGACTTTTATAGGCATTTCCCTTAACTTTAGTTCCCTATAACCGGCCTCTTCATTTGACTTGTGATTTGAGTGATGGCTGGCAATTCTTCCTATGTAAGGCTCTGCTGATCTAGCTATCCACGTGTCATTAAAGAATAATTTCCACTGAAAATCAGTATAAGACCTTCTAAACCTTCAAAACGTTTCCATGTTTTGCTTCGTATTGATCCAATAAATACTTGATGCAGCATTTTTTCATTGCCCATCTTCCATCGAACTTACTTACCGGAAATGGAATTCGATTTAATTCAAACGGGAAAATTTGATTTTTTGGAAAAAGAGGTATCAATATCAACTAAATGCTATCTGCAATTCTTGTTTGGGTGTATTAGGAGGACCTGTTTGGGAAGTTTAGAAGAATTATGATAAGGCTGTGGTACATATATTTATAAATGGGTGTCCTTTGCTTTTAAAACCGGGTTATTTCTGCAGAATCGCTCCTTCCTGGCACTTCACCGGATCTTAGCAACATGAAAAATAGTTACAGGAAACAAATTCCTCGGTGGCAGCAAGTACATGATCAAAAGTGAGATTTTGCCAAAAATTTCTCACGTTAACTTATGTTCGGCTACCAGGGCTGATTGTCTTTCTACTTCGTGCATTATAGGTCTTAGTCGACACTATTAATAGCAAATTTTTTAAGCAAAGCAGTCTGTCCTTTTCGGTTTCTCATCTGACTACCCTTCCAGTCATACTTTCCCATTGTGTTCGGTTTTTGTTTTTTTACTTAATTACGTGTGGAGCACCAGACTGGCAAGTTGCTCCAGACGCACCTACAATGTGCACTTTCTAAATGCCTAGCAGTGACCCTCGCTTGCACAGCTCTAGTTTCCCCATTCATAAATTTGCATAATGCCATAGAATAGTGACTTCATATTCAGCACGAATAAGCAATACTTTGTTGTAAAGACGTATCGTCGTCATGGCAGTCGGGGTAAATAGGACTTGATTATTCTTAGAAACCGCATAATGTGGACAACGTATTGGCGGATCATGCCTCGTCTAAATGGTCTTCACCCTTGCTTCAAATGTTCCATTAAAAGGCTTCTAGTTTTGTGGTCGTAAAGGACAGAGCTTATTTGATAAATTTAAATTGTGGTTAGGGCAGATACTACATTTTTTGTAGAGCCTATGGGAAACGGAAGATATGTGTAGCATTTTTAAAACGATTTACGACGACCCATCATTCTTCTACTCAGTCCATCAAATAGAACTTACCGGTACTTCGACATACCTTTCGAAAATGGTATAAGCACGACCCTGATAAGAACAGTCTAAATACTGCATGTAGAGTGTGGGACTCCGAGCCCCGTGGAATCATGAGTTTGCATATTTACAAAGCGACGCAGAAGGAACGATTCTACAAATCGAATTCACTTATTGAACCTATGAGGATGCGATTGTTTCCATTTGACAGTGTTTTAGCACATGTTGGAAGTTGAATTGTTTTGGTTCAATTTTGCATCTCGTCAACTGATCATCCAACGTGTCATGTGATCCACGAGGCACACTCAACGTAGGCCAAGCTGAGGGGAGCACAGACTGACCCCGTTTTGGCTTGGATCATGTAGTATGGATACCTTCTGCTTAGCTCCGACGTCGTGTTAGTACAGGAACGATCATGTCAACTTAGCATTTACAATGTTAGGATCCTAGGTGGACGTTACTGTGATGTCAATACACGGGATCGAGAGTGCCGCGTGTTCTGTTGCACACTGACAGGTGACATACATGTTGTTGAACGATTCAAGCACCGTTAATCAAGGTAACAGACGATAATAATGGTTTGTGTATTTAACACCGTATGTCGATAAAATTTGCTGTCAACAAAGTTGGAAAACCCATGCATGTCTATTCGTACGGTAGAGATTTGAGATTTTGTTTAACGGGGTGTTTGACTACCCAGGCACTCCAGCTCCTCCATGTTATACTTCCACGCTGTGGTAAGGCCTTGGGACCAAGCTAATAGTATTCCTGTTCTATATGATAGGACGCTACATTACCTACAGAGGGCCTGGGTGAGGGGACGCTTAGCCGCCGATCGTACCCCTGTCAGTGACGATCTCATCGGTGATGGCTCCAGGCCGGTCCTGTGAACATTCAGAAAGTGGAACCCCTGCCTAGTCCTGGATGATCAACGCACAGCCTGGCCAGAAATTGCAATAGGGACTAATCTTTCTGTAGCCACAGCGAAAGCAGTCCGTAATGGATCATCGCCATTTCGTAGAGTTCACGCAATCTTCACGGCACGAATGGGTTTATTGCTGCACTGATTTGAAGAAGTGTTTTGTCAGGAGACCTATATGTATCGCTGCACTACGAAATCGAAAGGACCATTAGGGTAGTGGAAGTATGTGTGTTAAGAGGCTCTCAAGATAGTAATTAAGCTCTAGATTAGATGCAAGCACGCACTAGAGGACCACAATTGAAGTGTTCCTTTCCTTCAAATATCCCCCAAATGATGTCGTCAATCCAATTCAAGTTATCTGACGATTCAGGTGGAGGGAAGAGCAATGTAACACTTATAGTGAGTTAATAACAGCCCTTGTACTGATTTAATGTCAACCTTGGGACTACCATTAGCAGTGCCAGCGGTTGTATAAGCCCAGGCTTTCCCTATTGTGGGAGATCCTGTGTATAAGCACCTCCGACCGATACATAGGAAACATTACTTTGAGCACACCGGGCGAATCTCTTACAGTTAGACGTGTTTTCCTTTCGGGCATAACTCATTCTTCGATGTTGATAAATGGGACCGAAAGGATCTGGGCGTTGCCTAATTGCGCCTATTCAAAGAAATCCTGTAAAACGGTGGAATGATTTGCAGATGGTAATGCGCTACCATGGTGCTTAAGAAAGGACGTGAATAGTCCTAAAGGAGGACCTTGAATACGCTAATCCGTCAACTTCTCGAATGGGTAAAAGCAACATCCACCCACAAATCTGTAAGTGATCGTCCTTTAGGAGTTACTGGCCGTTCAATTTTCCTGTAGACTTCGATTTAGCAAATGCAGGACTGGCTCAGAAATCAAACTGATTCAGGAGCAAGATCGTCAGTGGAATGATTGACATGACACTAAAGCGCTCGCTATCAGCATCACATGCTTATGGTAGGAGCTCTTTATCAGCTTGAGGCAATCAGTTGTACCATATCGTGCCCCAGTTAGACTGGTTGAGTTTAAACCAATAAAAAAATACAGAATCTTCTTGGCTTGGGTCGCATACCCTTAAATGGAACAGCTTTGGTAGACCCGTGTGATCAATTTTCTCCTGAGCGCCTGGCAGCGATTTCCGTTAAACCCTTTACAGTCGTCTACAACTAGTTTGCGATAAGGCCATTAGCATTTTCGGCCAGATGTTCGTGCATTCTCACATAACCCACGCAAAGTTAGTCCAATAGTCGACATTTCGCCCACAGGATCCTCGTGACCTCTGCAACCGCTAGAGAAAGCGAAATTAAATGATCCATTTCTTGGAGCAGAGTCTGGTGGAAAATTTATGGGGGGGGGGGGGGGGGACACTCACCATTGGCTTGACTCTTTCCACTTCCATTTTCAATCCATTTCATTAGCGTTTTCGCCTACTTCATGCCTCAAGTACCAACGCATCCAAAGGTGAAGTGCTCGTGTGGGGGTTCATTGTGCCAGGTTGGGCAGAACGGCTTGCCCCCAGTTTAACGGACTAGAATGTGGTTCTTCCGGTTTTGATGTTTCTGAGCAGAAAAACCCACCAAAGAGATCCTGCTCCTATTTCTGTCCTAACAGTTGGTGTACGAGGACTGTGTGAAAAGCCCAAGACTACTAAATACTGACAAAGAGCGTGCCTCAAATCCTACACTCCTGCAACTTACCATGGATGTCACTCTTTCTCCGTTCTTTTAAACCTCCAGCGGAACTAATCAAAGCAGACAATATTACTGCATTTGGATATAAAAACATAATTTGACATTCATCGAAGTGGCGTACAAGGTTATTTACTTTTAAAATGATTGTAACAACTCATACTCACCTGATCAAGCTGTATCAGTGGCGCCGTACTAGATGGTCTATTTAATGCGTTGGGATGTCTACACTGCTTCGTAAGGCATATTAATAAAATGTTATTGCTTAATGGCTGACTCTTACTTTCTTGGTAAGCCATAAAACGTGTCTAGCCCCGTCGCGCGAGATGGGTTCCGAGAGGAGGGGGGCAGTGAAACCGCCTGCATATGACCTAATTCCTCCCTAAGGTCTTAGATACGCGATATGTCCCACTTCATATGACACCAAAAGCAGTTAAGTGCAAGATACGCAAGGACAAACCTAGCACGGCGGATCCACACTCACAGACTGTCGTCCAATGAGGTAGGACCTGTTTAGGAAGCTATTCGTGCCGAGACGGCATCGCCAAAAAACCTGCTACCACAGCGCAACTACAGCTCAGGAGACAAAAAAACATCGTTTGCTGCCAAACCACAAGTTTTTTTCCCTTTAAGTAGTCATAAGTGCGAGAGCACACCCAAGTACAGTTGATGCCCTATCTGGACGTCCAGTTCATTTGCAGATGTCACAAAGTACGATGAAATACTAAAACCACCTCCTTATAGTGAACAGCCCCACCGCACTGCGAATGAAACCGTAGGGAGAGGTGTCACATATCACGGTGATCTGCCTACGGCGATACGACACTGGAGTGGTCTCAAATGTTGATGAAAGGAGCAAAAATAATAAGTCTAGGATTTTGAATGCGGGCGGCGCACTTGTTTATGCGACACGCCGACGGCTCGGCTAAACACCACACCCGTCTACCTCCGTTAACCTGAGACGGCTAACACCGATGCAAAAGTGCGGAGCCACTGCAGCATTCCGCGAAACAAGGCCCGGTTCTGACAACGAATTTAGAGAAGACACAAAGACTAAATAGACACTGGATAATAAATCCAACTTGAACACGAACCGGGGCCTGACGCAAGCGGGCGAACTAATTCATGGTTTGGAAACCATAATTAACGACCCCGATTGCACACAGACCCTGGTAACAAATGTGTGGCAGGAAACATAAAAGCCGACACTCAGCGCAATTTGAAATGGCAAGCACAACGAAGTCCGCATGTAGATTTCAACTTTTGACAGACAACTCTGTGCGAAGCTGCGTACCGTTTGCAATAAGTGGAGACTAACGCATCAGACCGCAGATGGACTTTAACTCCAATTGGGAAAAAAACCCCACCTTAGATTGTGCAAATAAGACTGGGACCGCCACGTGATTGCTCGGAAGAGAGCTGCAACCGCAAACCACAGGTCTTGGACCAAGCTGCCAAGGTAACGAAGCACAGAACGATGAGTAAAAAAAGTGTATTAAAAGGGTTTAGTTAGCAAATAACGTTGAGTGGTGCGAACAGAGCCTTCCAGAAATGCGGCATAATAGTAAAAAATGTGATGAGACGAAAAAGGAGCGGTGAACTTGTAGGTGTACAAAAGGGGGACTCCCACACAAAGGCTTGTATACCAACTGATGGGTACCACAATCGAAACGAGACGAAATAGAACCCAAAAACGAATATTGTACCCCGTTTTTGTCCACATTATTACCAAAATGGGGGAGAGTGAGACGAAATGATGAACAGATGGAGGAGACTAGCACTACTGAATGACGTAGGACTCGCGATGCATCCACTGCAGAGTCATGGAATCCTCAATGAATGCTGATTCTCCATAAGCTGCCGTTGGCCAGGGAATGTTCCGCGCACCGTCGGTAGCATCGGGTGCCCAATCGTAAATATTTGCGTCTAGGCAAGGATCTGTAGGCATAACCCATCCATCAAAAAGCAAGCCTAACCAGTAGTACAAAAAATTTATCAAAACCCAATTGAGTACAGCAAATACACCCAAACACAGAAGAGGATTAGTCAAAGATTCTATTCCCAGACCGCATAGCATGGGAGCAGACAGGATCATAAAACCGCATGCCCTAGTTGGGTTGTGGTCTGGCTGGGTTTTTGCTAATGGATATTTGTAGTCAAAATTACTCAGCGGTAAACCTATTATTTAGCACTCCCTCATGGAGGCCTCTCCACTGAGGGCGGAGCTCAATTTTGGTTGAGAAAAAGAGGACAAGGGGAGTCAGAACCCAGGAAAGGAAGCCATGCCGGTTTTTTACCCCCAAAATATTTCCAGTCGCATCGCGTTCTCAAAAGGCTTGGAATTAAGCTTTAGTCAATAAAAAATACCCCAAAAGGGATCTCAGTAACCATTTCTAGTGAATGCAAAACGGGAGCTAAGGAAAGATACGAGTAGGAACCCACCGATATAGAATTCTTCATCAGATTCGTTACCAGAAGAAGCTACATCGTCATAGATGCCCGAGGCGATGGACACCCAATCCCCTCCATGAAGCGCATAGACACCCTGCGAGGGCACAGGTGAGACCGGCCTGAGCTGTTTCAAAGGTGAATCGGTGACCACCGCCGAGACTTGCATCAAATCAAGGTAAGAAGGCGCTACGAGTGTCCGCTTTCGTGGTGGTGTAATCTCCTCGTAAATCGCCTCGTCCCCCATCTCCTCGTTGGAGTCGCTACAGACTTCGTCGTAAATTGGGTTGAAATGCTCGAGACGATGGCTTAGCCGCCGCACCTTCAGGAAATTGTGCTCTAGCGACAACACCGTGGTGGGACGGCGTTTAACCGCGGTAGGAGGAGGCAAATGGAGGGCCGACGCACGCATTATTGGAATGACAGCAGTGCCACAGCGAATCCGCCTCGGTGGAAGGAAGGCAGAGCCCGCAGCAGCAGGAGCGGTCGGTGGCGGAGGCACACCGGCACGAGCACGAACAGGGGAGGCACGGCGGAGGGAGAACTTTCGACGGACGGAGGGGTGGCGTAGACTGGGCCAGTGGAAGCGCTTCACGCCCTTCTTCGACTTTGTCCACCCAAGCGAGGCGGAGGTTTGACGTCCCACGTCGCCCAACTTACGACGATTTATTTTGAACCACATTCTACCGGGCCACCTGCAAACCAGCCGATTATTATGTGAAGAGCTTTCATGATCACACAGTTATTAAAAGCAAACAACAAATGAAACGCACGCCCACTGCCATAAGTCTAAAAGAAAATTGGTGATCCGGAGATGTAAGTTATCCGCAAATTGCATGGACAAAACACCCAGCAAGCCTAAATCACACAGAACTGCATAACTGAGTCGTTTATTAAAGGAGTGCATCGGTAAGCGACCAAAGCCAATCTTGGCGATCCTCAAGGCGGTAAGCCTGGGAATAAAAGCACTGGAACCGCCCAATAACAATGTAGAAACCCACGATAACATGCATAATCGACCAAATTTTCCTTGTGACAGAAAAACAATGCGAACCCGAGCATGGAATAAAGGCACGCAGTCAGGGCCACAACTATCATGTATCACCGCTCGAGCAAGCTGTTACTGTCACCAAAATTGTGGCGGTGTAGAGGTAGCGGCCTCACCAATTGCGTAGTAAATACTTGCTTGTTTCATTGCCGGCTTTACTCGAGCCAACTGATGGTAGGCCGTGTTCGGTACACCGCAACGTCAACCCCTCAACTCTACAGAGTGGAGTGATCTGTGGTGATCTCAGAAAACTAACCGAATTAATCTTCAAATTTAGCCTGGACAGAAAATCTCTTTTGTTTTCTACTGGACTGCAGACCACTAAGGCGCATTCGTCGCCCCCCCTGTCTCTAGGCTCGGACATTTGTCTGCCTTAGGCATGTCTAATCTAGCCATCCACTCTGTTAAAAGCTGCCTGGAAAGTGTGATTGCCATTAAAATTGTACTGAGTTTGCGACTTGTTTAAGCATTTCTAAAATTGTTAAGAGGTGTGCTGAAGCCAAACCACATGGCAAATCACGTAATAAAAAGGCAACAACAAACCAGACTAACAAATAGCGACACTGTGAGCAGAACCCATCGAAAAAGTGAAGACAAATCATTCTAGCGATGCACCCAGGTGTGGACAGAAAACAGTTTAAGCAATAACTGCCTAACCTATCTGTCAACTTCATTCGAAATACAAAAGTGCGGGAAGACACGGAATCTGATAGAGCGTTTTGTGCCGCAAGCAGACAATCGAAGTGGTGAGCTGACGTACAAGGAGGCAACCGTGGGAGAAGAACAACCTTAGTGGGCTCTATGAATCAATCGTCGATATTCCAGACAAACATTAATCTAATGGATCGGACGCACCCAACCGCATTTAATCACAATGACTCGGAGGCACCAGAACAAAGGACAGCATAACGTACCGGCAGCCGCGGCCCAACTGACGACCGAATGCATGCAGGCCGTCAAGCGCACGGATGCGTGCTTGTGTAGAGGCTTGTCACAACCACTAGCCAATCACACGGCGACTTAGTCATCGTCTCAGTCGACTGACCAGCCAATAAAATTTGGCAATGAGCCAGACTGTTACCTCATTGGTCAGGCCAATCTGATGGGCGTTACCGTGGTCTGCTCACCGTGGCATCCGATGCCAAAGTGAAGTAAAGCCGGGTGCAGGAAGGGCGAGGGTGGTGGTGCGTGTCATGGTGTCAGCTGTCTTCTCCGGCAGAATGTCATTGTCGGTGAAGGTTGATAGGGAGTAAGGCGTTATTCACAATGCAGAGCCCGGCCATAATACTCAATACCGAAACAGGCCAAGTAATGTCGGGTCGCTTAACAACCTTAAAACATTTTTTGACTGATTTATAATACATCACTGAGCCCCGCTGTGTTACCATAGATGCCTTTTGTTGCAAAAATAGTTCGGGGTCTCCCTTTTTCGGGTTGTAATTTTGCTTAATTACTAAGTTTTGCCGTTTGAGATAGTAATAAATACGAGCTATTTCCTTCCAAAAAGTCGGCCACCCGATAAGAGCTGTGTGTTCGGAGTTTAGCTAAACAAGACTCCTTTCTTCACCTGTTAGGTTTTTTTTGTCACAGGTGCGAGTTGGGACAGCACAAACAACAATGGGAGTGGCAGCTGCAAGTTTTTGGCGTGTGGCTGAAACAAGTACGCCAGCGAGGTGAAACCCATTCATTGAGGTAGATGGTTTGGCGGTTTTCATGATCTGGCATGTTTATTGATTGATGTTAGCCTTGAGAGGTCGGTGATTGTGCCTAAACATGCACCTCTTGGAGCCCCCTGGTTGCGCGTTCTATCAGACAGTGGGTCCTACTCCCTCGCGGAGGGCGTCATTTGCGTCGCCTATAACGAGTGTCTACTCCATGCACAGAACTTCCTCATACATATGCTATTAATATTACACTCCTCCCCATGCAGCTGACAGACATCTCTCCTTAGGAATACGTTTTGTAAACTTGTAACGTACCTTCCAAACGTGAGATCTCTTTGATTCAAAATGCGCACCATTTGGATGCAAGAAAGTGAGTAGCCCATCAACATATTTGCGGTTCTGGTGGCAGGATATCGCTTGTAGGTTAGATAAAATGATGGCATAGTAATCTGTGCTTTCATCCATTGGTAGGATAAGACAAGTGAAAAGTGGGATCCGAAGGTTGGACCCTAGTGGAAATGTACAACTAGCGCGAAATAAATGTCGGAGCTTGTAAATAATCCCATGGCTCTATCCTGACGTAGGTTCATTTTAATTTTAGGGTCATACCTCCAGATGCGTATACCCTTCTTTAACTTTTACTAAAACAGCGCTTCTCTTCTAAAACTTAACTTACTGTTGGATGGGGTAAGTTGGCATTATGGGGTAGACCTTCCATGAGCTGCTGTCCAGACGACTACTATTTACTTTGAGTTGTAGACCATACACAGTCAAACATTGAATAGCGGTCATCCTAAAATTTTTGCTCTAAAAACCTAAGACCACCTGAATATCACTGATAAATGCTTCAGGCGATCGTTGATACATTGCAGTGTAGTTTAATTCTACAGAATACAACGTGTAATTAATGCGATTTTTATCACGATTCACGTGTTTAGATATACTATTAGAATAAATGCAAAATGTTGAGCAGATTGTTGTTGTCATTTTTCTGAGGTAGACTCGTAGGCTTAAACCCGTTTTATTGGATAATGCCGTGATTTACAGCGCCTTCACCTCTAGCGTTTGGTTAATTTCAAAATAATCGCTTTAGTTTTGGCCAATTTTCCCTTAATGGATGAAATGTTTGAATCAAAATCATAGGTTAAATGAAAGCATTTTGATCTTTAAAGGAAATTGCTGTGTATTTCAAGAGCAGCGCATGACTTGCCGTTGCCATCATTAATTTATAATGCAAAAATTTAACGGTCTGTACCAACTAGGTGCAATTTACCTACTTGTTTAGTTAAGTAGCAAGTTAGTTACCAAAATATTATTTTGTCCCCTTTGCTAGTGCCATTCAAAAGTGGGGGGAGTTGAGTCGTTAGCCCAAAAACCACGTCTCCAATTGGTCAGGAGTACTCGCTTGTCAATGTACATTTAACCCAGTATCATTGCTTCGCTTAGCGCTCGACTTTCGACCTTCTCATCCCTCGTGGCAGTGTTTTACGGCAACACTAATGCTCTGAAGGCTTTATGGTTTCTCATGTGGCTTTCTTTACCTTTTTGACTTAAATAACGTTATCTGCATTGCAAAAAAATTGTAAATACAGATTTTGTGATTAGTTTCTGCCTGTTTCGGAAGCACTCTCAAGTTATTCGGGGTCCGCACAAATCCGTTGATCAGTCAAACAGTTCTTTAAGTTCGACTTTCATCCTTAATCATAGCACAACAGCAGCAATAATTCGTTTTGTTTTAATGGGTAATTTGCCTTCTTTTTTGCGCTAACTGATCTGATTAGTATTAGTAAGATAAAGACTTCAAATAACGTTTTTACTTCACTTTTACGGATCATGATATCAATTTTGTTAAAACAGATAAGGACCCATATATTGTTGGCTAAAATAATTTCTTCAGTGCTCTATAGACTTATTTTGAGAACTAATTTTCAACGAAAATGCAAATGATTATGGTGAGAAATTTAGACTAATTACTTATTTGAGGGTCTTTTTTGCCAATGTATGCCTTTATAGGCAGTTTGTGGATTCTTAAAGGACAGCACCACCAGGAAATCATTCAACCAAGCCTAAGTGTATGACGGGTCGAAGTTTGGAGACGTAACACATGTCTACTAGGCATCCGGATGCCATCTTTAATCATACCCCTATCAAGGAATGATAGGATTTGCCTACCTTAGCCCATCCTCTGTGGGACATATGTCGCCCTTGATGGAAAGCTAGCTCATGAGGCACGCCAGTAGCCAGCATACCACCGCGGCACAACAGGTGGACGTGTGTGTGACTCCCGTATCCTTCCTTCCTTATCCCCCCGATCCAGTGTGTGCTTCCTTCCACGTGCCACAAGTGGTGATAGTGGTGGGATCGTGTGGGTGGAAGTGGACTGGGGAGGGGATGGCAGATGAGGGTAGTTGATGCGGGTTCCACACACCGATAGCGGAATGGGAACTGTCAAGATGAAGTTTTTTGGTAGCAAATTCACCAAAAAATCCTTTTACCCTGTCATTGTTTTTTTAGACCAATGGTCATCGCATCCGTGCGACCCTTTTACATATGATCACATTGATGACAAGCGATACCTTGAAATCGCTCCATATTTTGAATTTTACAATAGGATAAAATAAAATTAATGAAGTTATTATTCGAATGTTATATTTTGTGCTTGGACGCTGAGCACTAACAATCATATTTATAATTTAATGATAGAGTTTAAGCAGTCACAACCGAAAAGATCATCAAATCTGTGCCAGGATTCTCCCAAAGTTCGTCATGGTGATTGATGCAATTGTTTACTAAATACGATCGTCCAGCCAATTTATCGGACAGCAAATGAGGACTCTAAAGCCCTTCTCCAAATTAGTTTCGTAGTCTACAACGTCAAAATGTCTGCAATTAAAATGAGCTCAAAACCCAGAACCCTTCGATTTTAATTTTTATCCTACATCCTCAAAACAGAGTAGGTGACCTAGAGCAGAAGAGTCAACTGACAATTTAAGAAGACTAAGGGGAATAATCTAAATTTCTTGTTGGTTACATGTTCTATTTCCATTCTTGGATGACAATGCCCTATGGAGAATATCTGTTACAAGGTAGACCACCAAACAATGTTCGAACAAGTTCGACTACATTGGTTCATTCTATGTACCTGATACCGTGCGGATCATCACCATGGGTTTTATCTTTGTAGGCAGGAGCTTTTTCTTGCTCGCATTAGGTTTTGTTACACTCTCCAAAGGTCATTGTCTCCGCGGCATCAAATCGACACTGAGAAGGTAGTTGGACGGGTGTTAGCATTGACTCCTTGATCATTACACAGCTGGATGGGTTACATTGCTGTTTGTAGATTGCATTATGATTAATCCATGTTCGTTGATTACCCAGGATAGAGTAAACACTTGGGCTTGCGAATAGAACTAACACCATTTCTCAGCAATTTAACTGGCTTCAGTCATTAGCATAACAGAATTGGGGCCAAAGATTTCATACCTTAAATGCATTTTTAGCTACATAAATTACGACTGAATGGAGTTTCGGATACTTCTCCAAGTTTATTTACAAATATACAACCATGAACTTAGTGTACAAAGGAACTTCAACTTGCCAATCCTCCAAACGCATCAACACTTGCCTTTGATAAGGCTAATGAAGGAGACCGTCTTAAGCCTCAATCGTGCAACAAACACGGAGTAATGCGACAAGCGTTGATTGCACCTGACCCAATTCCCCGCATTCGCGATCTATCCCTCGGCCCTATGAGGTCAGACTGGCCAACTTGGTAATCCTGGAAGTTAAACAGCGATAAAAGTTTAGTAAAATTCAACAGCTTCGGTATCAAATAATTTATCAACAAGTTAGCAACCTGCACTTTTCCCCCATGCAAAGCGAATACCGCATAGGTGGCCTGAGAAAAGGCATTAAATTAGCTGATTGAGGACTCGGATTCAAATTTTAATAGAAGAACCAGTACCGCTTGCTACTCGTTTACTTTCCACGATTGCTTAAACTAATGTGCCCCACTTGGAAAAATGAATTAACCAACTTCAGAAGCAGTGATGTTCAATCGAGGAGGAAGACTGAAACCGCTGGAGCAAAGTTGTACAAGAACCTCTGAAAAGGGCATACTATAGCTGTACACATAAAGCACCTTTACATTTTGGTGTAATGATTTTTAATTGCTCTTACTTAGACACCTAAGCTACGCCTCAAAATCCATGCAAACGCAAGTCACGGGAAGTGGGAGTAACTCGTTTCGCTGTCCATTATGATTACAACCAGGACCTGTTTCTTGAGTGAGAAACACGTAATAGCGAATGGCTCGAAACAAGTTTCACTTCTCATACCAAAAGAAGAGGCACAAATATACAAACCTCAACAGTTAGACAATGCTGGGTTGTAAATGCTAAAATTCTGTTATCAAAACTACCGCACACCATTATAATTCCGGATGATGGGGTAAAGAAATTGTTAGATTTCCCTTCTACGGAATTCCCTAGTTGACAGTTAATGAGAATGTTCTTGGCCAAATGTTAGACTATCAACGCAACACTTTGAGCCCACTTGACTAGTCCTAATCTGCCCAAATCATTTGCACATGAGGGTGTTACCCTCCTCATCAGTGTTATTTAGGAAGTGACCCTGTATTTGCACAGTTTAACCGCCGTGTCGCAATCGGCGTCCAAGATGCAGGAGAAGTTGGAGACGGAAGAGGGGGCTTTTCGCCGTAGCAACTACGTGACTCATATCAGCGGCGGTATGTACGCGGGGTCACTACCCTTCCTTTCTACCTCTTACTCGGATGACTCTGGAGGGGGGGAGGAGGGTTAAATTTCTGATCATCCTAACCCTTTACCGCCAGGCTCAGCAACAAGCGGGGGTTACGATTAGCAATCTTGTGTGGACATCATTGCCTAAATGGAAATATTACATGACACTTTACTTGATTGGATGAAGTAAATATGTAGTTAACATTCAAAAACCTCTTGAAGCAACAAGATGAGCAGCCAGATACCAAACTAACGCCAATATTTCACGATGCAGTTGCACCCACAGAAGGGATCTCGGACATCCAGTGGAATTGTAGAAAAAGCAAATTCAGGAGTCAGAACGAGAGATCTATCTGTCAGCTAAGATTTGAAATAAACTTGCGCCTTTTTCGAAGGCAATAAATTTCGAACAGATATGGTATTAGGTTTTCAACTCGTCATTCAATAAAATAAAGTTAGGATAATATATTTCCCATCCACTGTCACTGGTGGCGATCAAGTGTGGCATTCCTGATCAAAAGGTGTTTATTTTGACTGCACCTTCCATTCCACAAGGCCCACACTACCATACGATCGTTTATTTTTCCTACCAGTTTTTATACACTCTGAGGGAAATCTTAAATACCATGCGGTTGTTAAGCAGATCTCTTTCTTCCGCTCAGTAAATTACAAAATCAATCCATGGATTTGTAAAGATTTAGTCTTTTTGGCTAACCATAATTGAAATGTAAGAGTATTTGTGTGGGAGAGTACATCGAAAATGTTGTAAAAGAGGCCATTTTGGGAAACTATAATCAAGACACCATCGCAAGTAATCTTGCTTTGGCTGCAGATGTAATTCTTGTCTACTTGTCATATCTATTCATCATAATGTCAAGTTTAAAGTTGTATAACATAGCATTACGGTCGGAAAGGCGGAACGCTGCTGCCATCACAGAAACGTCCCAAGCCTAGCTGACTGGTTAGAGATTTTACAAACGAGACAGTGTAAGGGGGAAGGAGAGGCAAGAAAAGAGGGACATAATTGTAATAATCATTCTCGATACCGCGTAGATGAGGCAGTGCGTACAGCTACAATTCTCTTAGAAAACTCCCATTCCACATAGTAATTGGAATGACCTTTACAACACTGAATTTATGTTGATTCGTAATATGCACTAAGTTTTCAGTACTCGATTACGCACCCACGCTCTTCCCCATCAGGCATCCAGAATCGAGACGAACTTATCATGACTGCATAAAAATAAACTCACAATATGCAGTGTAGAAGAATGTTTAAAAGGGATTTGCAAATTGAAATGTCTGTTTCAAAATGATAAAATAGCAATAAGATCACGAGATGGTCTTATCTCTCAAATAGACATGGGAAAGCACTTAATCGTGGTCCAGGCTATCCCACCAAAGGGTGGGATTACCAATAGGGGAATGACTTTCTGCGTGCAGGGTAGACTACAAGTAGCAGTTGCCTAGACCCATGCAGTGCACAAAATGCCTATTTACGCGCAGAAGCCAACTCTTGATCTACAGCATTCACTTCCTTTTCTACAAATAATCATTTTTCACAAGATACTGAAAGCATTTTAAATGACAAAATTTGAATGTTATTCATTGGATATAGGCCGTTTCTGACAGGCTTTCTGGTGCGATCAGGCGTTTTGAACGCTTTTGTGGCGTTAGTGGACTGGCGAGGGAGGCCCAGTAGCACTGTTTCTCGCTGAAAATACATTTATTTCGAGAAAGAATAGGAAGGTAGGGGGGAAGAGAGAGACTTTCAGGGCGGTAGATTTAGTGCCATTACCTAATATCTATGTGAACCTAAACAATCGCGCCACTTTTTATCAAAGTCAGTTCACATTTATGTTTGAATGGAAAAAAATGCAGTGGTTTGAGAGCATTGTCTTCAAAGGATCGGAATTCCTAACTTAAGTTAAGGCAGTTAAATTTTTTAAATTTTAAGTTAGCTCTTGAATTTTTGCCAAAGTCATAACAGGCCGTAGTTCTAACGTACGGAAGAGCTGGAAGGTTATTAGCGTGACCCTAAGGCTGATTTGGTTGCGTGATTAGATAAAATGACAAATTGCTACATCAAAACTGCAACTCATCTACCAAATCAAAAAAACTATAATACTTGGAGCAAAGAGTTGTCTAAGCAGCCAATTCGCAAAAATATCTCCAGTCTTGGAGGGTAGTGGGTCGGAAATATATTCTGGCATGAATTAACAGTTAATATCAATTAAACCGGTGAATGGGAAACTCACTAATAATTCCTTTAAGTTAATCTATCCGTATTTGCACCACCGAAATGCAGCCGCAAACTGTTTTTTTCATTTTGAGAGACGATAGAAAGCAAAACAATCGTCCGACCCTCCTCAATACGTGCACCTTCCTGATCCCACGGAGAGATCATTTCAATGGACTTGGCTTCGACACAAGTACGATCCCTGCGTACCAATTCTTAGGCAAACAAGGTAAACATGTGAAATGAAGGGCTTTCTTTAAGGTAATCACATATTGGCATGCATCCACTAGTACGTGCGCTAGAATAGCTATCTTGGACAACGCAAAACGAAATGCTTCACACTTGCCAATTAAACATTCCATCTCTCTTTTATTACCTCATCCTTACTTGCCTCGGTATATCCATGCAATTATTCCCCTCCGCATTATCCGTCAACTTTCAATACATCCTAACAGGGCGTGAGCACATCCACAGTGGATGTTTTGATAAAGTTAAACCCTCATTCGGACAGACTTAAATCTTCTCGCCTAATTTTACTAAGCATTATATTCTTGCAGGTGTAATAAATACATCATGGAGAAGACGTAGTACATCATGCCTCCTGTTAAATTGGTCGACAATCATACCTAAGATAAAATTCAGGTGCAGTAGGTTGCTTTCAATGCATTCCCACAACCTTCATTTTTTTAGTTTTTTTTTTTGTAATCTAGTACTCCTTTAAAATACCTCAAAAAGGCAGTAAGGAAATAGTGCAGAGAAATTCAAATAGGATAATTAACGTTAACGAAATGTGGTATTGTATGAATTATTTTCAGCGTTCGAGCTCTGCACCAGATAGGAAACGGCAATATGATTCTGATGAAGTTTCTGGTGAGATTTGTGCTTTAAGCCCTTGATGTGATGTACCATCCTGTCAGTTAAGTCAGTGTTTTGGCTTGAAGAAATTGCTTTCGTTTGTGTCAAAATCAATCTGAAAATGAAATCTGAAAAGAAACCAATCTCATTTGGGTTTGGGAATAGCCACTGCACATGTGTTTTGCTTTCCTTGGCACCATGGGAACAGTGGGGTATTCAAATGCTTCTGACTTCCGAACTCCACAAAATTTGAACCTTTGCAAGGGGGCGCACGCACATACGCGCCTGTGGACACGATTATACGTGCGTGTATAGGTGCGCACGGATGAACGCACCCATGCACGCACGCGGTCAAGGAGTTTGTGTTTTGTCTGTTTCACCTTTGGCAGTGTGTGCAGCCTCCCATCGATTTCTGATAATCACAACAGCTGTGCCGCGTCATTTTGGGAGGGGAAGACGTTTTCTCCGCCAGCAGTTGCTGCGCAGCCCAAGCGCACAGGCGCTAACGGCCGGAAAAACAATTGGTGCGGCGCACACGCCTTTGGTGCGTGCAGGCAAGCGATTGGCTGATGCTGGCACTCTTGCATTTGCTGCGTGCCACGCGGGCCAATGGGCAAGCTGGTATAATAGTGCGTGCTGATCGACTGCCACTTCTGGTCAAATTGAATAACGGACAGCAGTTGTCGCAATTACTGCTGCCCGAACAGCCGCAAGAGTGGAAAAGCAGTCTATTTTTTGTGAAAAACGCACATAGTACACTGGAACAGTAAAGAGGAGGACGGGAACTATACACACGCGCACACATACCTCGAACAGGCGCATCCCAGAACAACAGTTGATGCGACAACAGCCGCTAACAATTGTCGTCGTTCAAAGTAGTCTCTCGTGATCGCCTCAGTCATCAGTCTTGTGAAGGAGAAGAAGAGGAGGAGGAGGAGGTGGTGGAAGGAGGAGGAGAAAGAAGAAACACTTACTCTTGTTATCCGCCTACCGGTTGCGCACCGCCCTACCCCCCACACGCACCCACTACCACCAACAGCCACGTAAAGCAGAAGGCAAACAGATGTTGGGAAGCGGTGGCGATTATGCCATTGAGGTAGTAACGACAGCAACTCCTAGTGTACCTCAGCCTTCGAAACTTCATGACGCAAACAACAATGGTCCAGGTGGACGTGAAAATATCTACCCCTATCCTGAGTACTCTAACCTTATGGGCTATGACAATAGCGTTAGCCAAGGCCGTCCCTTTCCGAATGATACCCATCCCGGGCCGCTGCAGACCTTGGTCAGTCAGCTGGTGGCCAAAAGTGAGCTTGGCTCAAACGAGGCCAATTACGACCATCTTTTGTATTCGGCCTCGTCTACAGCGGCAGCGGCTGCCTATTCACCCTTCTACGGCAATCAGTCGGGAGGAATGTCGACGTCCTTCGAGAACTTTTATCCGCACAGCTATACAGCTTATATGTCCGACCACCTAAATAATTCCACAGATCTGAATGGCTTTCCGTATTCCTCCACCTATGCGAGCAATCGGGTGTACGAGACGAGTGATTATGGGGCGGCGTCCAACACTTATCAAAATCAGCATCCTTCTACAACGAATGCTAATAAGACGGCGCCCACTTCAAATACCATCGACTCCTCTTCCACATCTTCAGTCACTTCAACGTGCTCGGCGATGGATTCGGCCTTTAATAACACGGGCTTTTATCTTAAACCTGAGGAGGGTGGAAAAGTAGGAAGGTTTTTTACCAGCCCCAATGATGCTGCTGCTACTGCTGCCCTTACTACTACCACTACTTGTAACACCAGCAGTAGTATAGATAAGGAGCAGAGAAAGCGGATGGTGGAGGCTCGAAGGAACGGTGCAGATACGGGGAAGAAGGCACGAACACATCAGCAAAATAAGAAGGCGGAGATTTCTCCCTGTGTCACCGAGAAGGACGTAAAATCGGGCCTTGCTGTGGGGGAAGATCACAGCCCTCTATCCATAGGAGTGGACTCCGGAGATGATTCGAATTCCAGCGGGGATGATGAGCATGGAACTGGGAATAAGGTAAATCCAAATTGTTTGAGTGGCGTTAATGCTCTCCCCTTAGAGTTTTGCATTTTGTTAGCTTCAACTCATCCTAGGCGTATCGCGTAATGTTCGGTTTATTCGAGGCTCGTAACCATGACACAATAATTTGTTAATTCCAAAGTTGTGAAGCCCAGTGGGAGATAAGGTAGTTACTGTCGTCGTTGTTCGAGAAGGTGAGGGGTTTCTGACTGACGAAAGCAAACAAAACGGCTATGTTTACACGAGAGGGGATTCCAAGACTCAGCACTCCTTGTGAACTTGTTAAAAAATTTATTTGCCACAAATTCGCTAATAGATGTAACAAAATTGTGTGCTTGAAAATTTCTATTTAAGTTACATCTAGTTCCCATATTTCGAGTTTGACTTTCGCTATTATTGGGAGTGGTTTATCGAACTGAAACAGGTAAATGGAAATTGTTTTGGCGATTTCGAGCAACTAATATTCCCCACCCTTCATATCATCATGATGATAAACCGAAATCTAAATCAGATTTAATGGTCACTGATCCACTGTCAGTTAACGAAACCATAGTTTGAGGGATTGAGTTTTCGTATGTAAAGTTCTAGGGCATATCCAACTCACTGCTATTCTGTTACGAATGTGATTTAAGCTGAGCGTGAACCGGGTCATGAGAACGGCGTTGGATGTGGTATTCAAATCATGACCTTAGCGTCATATCTACGCGCCCATGCGTGAACCGATGAAATGAGAAATGGGGGTAGAAAGGGGCATATGCAACATCCTTCACGGATGGTTTAGCAGATCCATTTTGGCTAAGTGGAATCAGATAAACATTCCACGTGAACTGGTACACCACCCATCCGCGGCATACAACTTGATTGAAGGCCTGGGCTCCTGTTTATTTGCTCAGTTGCAGTCTTCGCTTCCAACTATCTAATCAGGTAACTTTCTTCCTTTTCTGAATATAAGCAGGTGTAGTTGATCAACATTCCGAAATTTTTATCTAATCTTTCCGAATAACATTTTAAAGCTTAAATTAGAAGACGACTGCCGAAACTCCCCCTAATATGCTATGAATCGCCTGAAGTTATCTGACACAGCGTTCGCGACTAGTGGGCTTATGTCCCCACACCCAAAAAAGCATCGTAAACTACCGAATACATTAGTAACAGGTACAAGTAAGCAATTCACCACACTGGCCTATCAATCTTCTTTTGTAAGCAAATACCGCTAGTGTTCTTGCTGTCCGAATTCGTGCATGTGGCAATTTCGGGTTTTCATGTTCTATCATGTCTGTTTGCATACATGTAAGACAGACGCTGCTCGATTTCTCTTGACACAATCTTCTCGAAATGGATGAATTCAGACAGTTCTTGTTGTCTGATTAATGCTACACAACCCCACTTTTAGGAGAATTTCCCTAATCAGTAGCTTTTCTTTTCAAAAAAACTCAAGACACTTTGGGTGTTTCGCATGCTGAGTTTGAAGTTATTTGAACCAGCAAGTTTATACAGAACTTGAAACCTCCCTAATAACTAGATTCGGAGACTAATTTAAGTCACTAATGATGGGAAATAGCATCAAGACTGAATCTAACTACCATTCAGGACCCACCCATGTAGTCGCCGAATTAGCAAATATAACTCCCACTGCAATTTGGATGGCACCGGTCGAATAAGCTTGTGTACCCGACTTGTTAATCGCATTGATACTAACTCGTATAGCTCTTTAATCAGAAACTGAAATACCTTCATTAAAAAACCGAATTTAATGTTAAGCAGTACATTCGACTAAACTAATTCATAACGCCTTTAAACATACTGCAGAGAATGCAATGGTTGTGCGAGCCATCTGACAAGTAGTGGGACACCTTGGGTTGACCGTTTCTTATAGACAGGATATAAATGAAAGTAGAGATGGAAAGTACTGCGAGAGGTATTGTTTGTCTCTACTTACTCGGTTGCATTGGAAACCTTCGTCGGGTCAACGAATTGGGTTTCCATATGACGAGATCGGTTCGTGGAAGTTGTGAAATCGTACATGTCGCTTCTACTTGACGGACCATTTTTAGCAGTCCCTTCCATCGATTCCTTTGGGCTTATGAATACGCACAAATACATGCACGGCCACTAACATAAGTATGGTGTCTTCAACATAGGCGGTTATGACTAACGACCTCAGTGCTAAATCTTACTCATCCGGCCCTTCTCGACAAGAAGGCGTCAGCTGTTTACCACGATCGAGGTAGTGAGGGTTAGCGTCGGAGACAAGGCGGGTCTTGGAGAAATCCTCTCTCCCCTTGCACCGAAAGGAAAAAGAAGGGAGTAAGAGGGAATGGGAGGGAGCGAGTGAGGCACGTACATCCTAAGGTAACAGCTGACGCTTGGGCATCACATCCCTTACGCGGGTACGCTAGTCCGGGCGAGCCTTCTGGAGAGGGTAATTAAGCAGTAACAGCAGAAGTGATAGTAGCGAGCTGGGAAAGGGGCGAAGGAGTTCGGGTCGAAACAACTGTTGCGGTGTTGAAGTCACGATTTCCCGGGGTGGGGGTGAAGAAAGTTGGCAATAAAATATGGAGACCAGTTACCACCGTGAAACGAGTTTTGGAAAAGGGCGATTGGAAGAGCTACCTTTCGCCTTCCACCCCATCTGCATGTCACAAGGGTGTTTTTACACCCAGCTTTGATAGGCCATGTGTGTATGTAGGATTATTAGGTACGATTAAAGGCCCATTATACGTTTTCACAGCTGGGTAGAAATTAACCAATATTTAGCACTAGCAGATGCAAAAAAACTATACAAAGGTAATCAATCTTTTCATTTATACATATTCTTGCAAAAATAAGTCCTATCTTGTGATAATAATCCGGTCTTTTACAAAATTGCTAAATTTAAGCTTATAAATATCATAGGTTTATTTAAAAGGGGTAGGTCTTTGTCAAAGAAGGCTAAAATTGGTAACTGTTGTTAATAAGCAATCTAATCTGACGCTTTGATCAATTGTGATCTCTTTTTCTCATAGGAGGAGCATATAATAGCCCCTGGATCGCATGGCCAATGCCTTCTGTGGGCATGCAAGGCATGCAAGAAGAAGACAATGCAGGTCGACCGTCGAAAGGCAGCAACAATGCGAGAGCGTCGACGTCTGCGCAAAGTCAACGAGGCTTTCGAGACGTTGAAACGGCGCACCTGTTCTAATCCGAATCAGCGTATGCCAAAAGTGGAGATCCTACGTACGGCCATTGATTATATAGAAAACCTGGAAGAGATGCTCCATCGCAATGGAGTTCTTCTAGGATCCTCAGCCTCTTCCTCCTCAATTTCCGGCACACTTCTCCGCTCCTCCGGTCGCTACTCTACCGGTGCTGGTGTCAACGGCACTGCAGTGAACAGTAAAATAACCTCAGTAGAGAGTGCCAGAATTCAACGAACAGGTGGGGGTAGTAGGGGCCGGAAGGCGGGGACACTTACAAAAGGTGATAAAGTGGGGAATAACCGAGCTGACTACACAAACATGGCTGCCACTCCGGCTACAAACAATGGTCAGGCTTCCTTTATGAAAATGGAGAACTCACAATCCATGGTGAGTTTTCTTCTCTTACACCAGAATTAAACATAGGAACTTTGGGATCCTCGTTGAACAGGAAGAATGCGATGTAGATTTTAAGATAATTAAGAAAAAGGCGGAACAATGGTTTGTCTCATAGTCATCATTCATCAGTTATTGGACTGAAGGTAATCAGTCGGGGGAATGAGGGAGGGGGTTGATGCATACAGTTTCTCTACCCCGACGGGATCATGATGGACGGTAGGGCAGGCGAACAAGTGGGAGAGACAGAGAGGAAGGGGAGGTGCCGGGAATGAAGTGTGTACGCATACGGATTCCGAAACCGGTGGATCCGGGCTAGGTAGAACCAACTTTGTGGTAAGGGGAGGGAACAAAATCAGTGAGTCTTTGATGAATATGGCAGGTGGTACGATTGTGCCTGCTAGGCCTTGTCTTCCATCCCCCATTATACCATTCGACTGTCAATGTATTCACACGCGCATCCAGGCATACTTGCACGTGTCAGTGTATGGGATAAGAATAGCAAAGGTGGTCCAACCCCCACTCGGTCTGTCATAACTGTCGTTTGGCTAATTAACTGACCCTCTCAAGGTCTAGGCGATGCGAGGGAATCTAAGGGGAAGGAGAGATGGGTAGCGCCCCAATCGTAGAACACGTGTATTTTAATGACATTTAGCCACAAATTCCTTTACCCTTACCTTAGGCAGTAATTACTATTAACCAACTTTAAAGACTTTATTCCCAATAAAATCATTAATGTGTTGCAGCATCACCTCAAGTTGCTTGCCTATGTGCAACAGTTCTTGAGTGCATGGCTTTACCCTACGTGTATTTCGTAATTTAATTTTAACTTTCGTAATGAAGCACTCAACAACCCTGCAAGACCTCCATCTCATTGCTTGGATGTAGTCCATTAAATGAGATTTTGTGGATCTCGTGAACGAGATCATTTGTTGTGTCGAGTGCTGCTCGTTGTAATTTTCCCATTTATGTGCGGATAGAAGGAAATATCCGTATATTTTTTTCTTCTGTGTCAGAAGTTTATGTTTTAAATACTTATCGCCCAAGGATTCAGAAGCTTTTCTGGAACTAATGGAGTGGTGAAAACGGTACCCTTCTGAGTAGTTAACACTCCCATTTAGCATAGAATTTTGTGCATGCATAGGCTCAGTAAACGGGCACTGAAGATCAAGTTAGGTAGAAGGAAGTAGCGCCCGCTATGGTGATTGCACCGAAAAGCATTATAGTGGCTTTTTTCTGGTGTAGTGTCAAATCGTTGGCGTCGTATATTTTTACAAAACAGCGCACAAGATGCCTTCTGTCCAGACTCACCGACTAACCACAGCAGCCGCGACTGCCACTAATACTGCATCCCACCCACCCTTTCCCCAAATGTGCACGAAATCACGCCTGTGCGCACATACATGCGTACAAGCTTATGAGAGACAGGGCAGACAAGAGGTGCACGCCTCGACTACTCTGCAATGTAGACAAATGGGCAGCATAGATGTTTGGCCTGATCCCCTCCCTGTCCGCCCTCCCCTCGCCCCGCTTCTCGCCTCCTTGACTGCGCGACCATTCGGAGAAAACGCCATAAACAGACATTCGTAGGCGAGAGAGAGGGTGGTAGTTTGTGCCACGTACACACAGATCCACCGTAATTAGTAGTAAACGCCACAATGAAGTCCGTTTTCGTATGGTGCCAAATATGCCGCTGTCAACTTCCACCGAACCCCGGACTCCAACCCACTTGAACGAAATAGCTAATTTCCGTTTAAGATAGTCTTCACTTTTAGTTAAATATTTAGAATAGATTGATGATGTGGAGTAATTGTATCATGTCATAAAAACAAACCCATTTTATTTACAGTGACAAAGTTGTAGAAGAATAAAGGAGACTTGGAGCGATCTTAAGACTAGGTATCTCACAAGCCGAGCTTGAAAACTTTTTACCTTAACTAGTTAACCACAAATCAAACACTACATGAACTTTAAACTCTCACCAAATATATCTACGAAGCTGAAAACTCGCTTAGAGTATTTTACATGCTTAACCTGAAATAAAGAGGACATTTTAGTTACCTATTATAGTCCGTCGGCTCCGATAAATCAGGAACAATGTGGATTGCCTAAAGTACAAAACCACGGCTCTTCAATCATCTACTGAATCGCATAGCTGCAGACAGTTGCGCTTGAACATTGGATAGGAACGAATGGGGATGTGCGTCTTGATCTCCGTCATGAAGGAGCCACTGCAACTGCGTTTTTTAAAACAAGAAAGGCAGGAAAAGGAGTTGAAAAATAAGTCTGATTTACTTTCAGGCGATACTTGAAAATTAAGTTCATTCATTCATAAAATCACATTGCCTGCGGCATCAAACAGATTCTACGAAATCTGTCCACTATAAACTATGGTCTAAGGGTGATAAGAAGGACTTGCGGCAACGCTAGAAACAACCGCCTACATCTTCCATTCTCCTCTGTTTCAGCCAACAGAAGACGAGTCCTCTTACCGAGGATATACAGCAAGTTTGGCCAACAACGGGTGGCCGGCCTCACTCCCTGTCCACGATCCCACGACCGTTAGTGGTAGGTCCCTTTCGCGGTTTTTTTCATGTTTGGATAAACAATGGCACAAGTTACGTACGTTCAGTCACTATGACTTCAAATATTCACGGGACTCCGCAATGGCTAAATCATCCATTAACTGGAGAAATTATAATTAATTTGTGTGGATATAAACCTTCATTTTAGTACAGGCCATATATTTAATTAAAAACCATACTCTGCTAATGTTTTCAGTGAGATTTTAAAGGTAAAATCAAATGATTTAGTTAGTTCATAGGAAGCAAAGCCCTCGTTTGAACAATCGCTTACATTTCATCCCAAGTGTGGCACATCTGAAGTGTACTTCTATTTAAAACTTGGAAAGCAAAGTAGGCAACATTTTCACCCACTTTTTATTAATTTTGACTTGTTTTCTCTTAGCACCATAACATTTTGGCCCACCAACTTCGAGGCAGTAGTAATCATGCGTAAATTGCGTATACGTATACACACACCCACAAGTAAGGAGGGAGAATGAGGGATCACATTTTGTCCAGAAAAGAGGATATTACTGAGGCTTCCAGTGTTATATTTGGCTATTAAGATTAAAAGGGAGAGGGAGAATCGTGCGTACACAAACAAATCACAATCAACTTCTAATTGGCCAGTTTCTCTTTATCCATCTAGGTGCAAGCGTGCCTGCCGTCTCCTCACCCCCGCCCTGGCGACATGTGACGCCCACTCTGAGTGGAGCTGAAACCCCCACCTCCGCGGTTCCCGAAAAAGCCCTCTGCTGATGGGCTAATTTTCAGTCCGCCCTCCCTCCCGCATGCGCGTGCGTACCTACGTGCGTGCGCACGTGCATGTGTGTGCGTACCCACGATTCCCTACCTCAACCCCCACTATTCCACATGCTCCTACGCCAACCTCAATCCTGTCTGCATACACACAGGCACATTGCTATTTACACTGGCCAATTTGTACTACAAAAAGACGGCAACAGGATCTCACACGAGAATCACAGTTTCCTCTTCTAATTTTTGACAAGCGCTAATGTCGTTTATTGTAAATAAAACACCACCTATCATGTACTACGCGCATTTTCAGAGAAGAGGCGGCAGTGCAGTTTCCCCTTGCCATTGGTGAAATTCGAACGAAAGAATCACGAGGCAGTGTGCTTTTGGGGAAGCGAAGTTAACACCTCCTTTATCACGTTTGTTGATGAGGCTCGTGAGTACGAATTGACAAATCTACAAGAGATGTTAGATCAGTCGAACACGAATGTCAATGTAACATTGATAAAAAACTGAAATAAAAGAAGGCTACCATATGTATTGTTACCTTAAATCATCAATTCATCGTGCTGGTACTAAACCCCACGAAACGTTGCTTGCAATAGTTGTGACAAGGGTGAATAAATAGTGAAGCTCCGACGTGGTTTAAAAATATAAATGCCCATACTGAACGAGCAGAACGCATTACCTGTAATGGACGATCCCAAGATTCGAAAAGTAGCCTACTTTATCTTCGCTAATCTATTTTTACACTACAAGTTATTCTTTTTTTCAAAAACAGACAGTAAAAGTTAGGGTAATATTCTCTTCAACAAATGCAACCACCTCGTGTTTTAGTTTCAGCACGAATGCCGCATTTTACGATTTGTGAACTACGAGGGTTAAAGGGGGAAGCTAAAGTGTTTCTTGGCAAGCCATACCTTTATTTTGGAATTTTTTTTTTAGGAAATAGCATAAATCTCACGAAAGTACAGCGAGCAACAATTGTGGCACAATCTGTCTGCGATTGACTTTTTTCACATTAAGGATCGGAAGCACAAATGGGTGTTTTAGGCAATGGGATAGACGTACCTAATTCTTGCAAAAGTCAGACAAAATGTCGGAGGCAGCGTTTTTCTTAGCAGATTTATGGTTTTAAGAGGGAAAATGTACTCTTCCTTGTGTACATTGAAACTGTGTGACTGTGGCGGTTCTTGATTTAAGAACCAAGTGGAAATGTGCCTTGCAATACAAGCGAGGGGTACCTGCCCAATTTATTTTGGGTTTTTCTTTTTCTCTGAAGTAAAAGAAAGCACAAGCATTTTGTTGGAACGGAATTTGAATAAATTCACTTGATTAAACACTTCGCAGTTTAAAATTCACCCTTTTTCAAGCATGAATGGGAAAGGGCTGTTTTGCAGTAAACAAGATCGGATACATTACCATCGAAAAATACATGATCGTGGGTTAAAGTAGAATTCCCAGTGCTTTTAAAATCCACAGCGGTGCCAGGTGGCGCTTTGTGATGTCACAAATTCGAATGGGCTAATAAATTGTTTAAAAAGCTTTAAGAATTGGAACGAATATCGTGCTGATCTTTTTGTGACGAACCTAAACCCCATTCCTTAGGCTAAGCTGTATCTTGAATCATAAAAGAGGATGCATTATTGAGGTTCTGGGAGAAATATAGAGGCTCAATGAGCGATATTAGCAAGCATGTTTCTTGGGCATCTACATTTGACAGTGGGATTCTTTCATTTCTCCATGCTGCCTTACATTTATAGATATTTCTGGATTACTAACTTTGTTTGGGCTAATTCCATCTCCCCTAAATACGGAACATAACTTTCACATGGTAAAATGTATGTAGCACTTCTGATCTCCTTCAAGGTACATTTGAAAACAAACGCAAATTCGGCCAAAAGCCCCTCCATTAATTACATACACGTGCATGTGTTTACTGAGGGAATGGCCCGTGAAGAGGGGCAAATAGTTACTTGCCGAGAGGTCTTCTCATGGCCACTCATACGCTACACATACCAGACGATTAAAATAAAAGTATGATTGACATTGATTTGGCGAGTAGCTTGCGACAGTACTCGATGCCTGAACGATCAAGGCAGCTCTACTAATCGCTGTTGCTCTATTGTTAACATCCGCTTTTTAATTAACCATTGCCCTCGGAATTTGGGTGGGAACATCTCGCTTTTTAATTATTAAAGCACATAATATTTTAAGAATCTCGTGATCCTAATTCATGATTTACTTCTCATCTTTGCGAGGATCTCATTTTAGTGCTGACACTCGTAGAAGGAGTATCATTGGGCACAACGTAAAAACATTAACGTCAAAGTGCCAACACTGAGCCATTCAATTAACTTATCAACTGACAGCTACGAAATTGAGTGGATTAACTACCTGTGAAGCATAAATTTCAGTTCTAGAAAAGCATTAGCTTTTATGGGTACGTGTTAAAATACTATTCACATTATCTAAAACGGGAATGAACGTCGATGTTAGCATTATTTAGCCGCAAACTTTCAAGTTTGTGAAAAATTTTGGGAACAAACACCACGGACTGCCACAACAACAGAAAACATAGTGAAAAAGAACTCTATAAAATGCCACCAAGTGCGGTTCATTCAACAGGAGATGAAAGTTGCTAAAAATTGATTTCAAAAGGGTCACCCAAAAAATGTAAAAGCAAATGAAGCCGAAGGATTGACAACTAGAAGCACGCCTAGTTTGGCAGAGCTTTTGCTAAAGCACAGTGAGTTAATTTGGGCAAACTTTCGGTTTACTGAAGTTAAGTATTTGAGAATTGAATGAAGTTCTGACTGGCAAATATGAAAATTGGAATTGGCGAGTTGTGTGATACATGATGTTTTAATGTGCTTTTGGATGAGAAGCTTTTAGTGAACATGATTGGCATAACGGAAGAGTCGTCAGAAATTTCCGAGGCACAAAAGTGTTCTAAACATGCCTACCTCTGGTCCCAGTTCTCCTCTCTTACCATTACCAATAAAAAATGTCCCGCCTAGTCAGCCCACTTGTTTCAAGAAGATGAAGACCGAAGAGGAAGAGATAAAAACAGAATCTTGTACATTAGCAGACAAGCCATCACTTGTGGGTAAAAAATTTACCCCCCTTTACTTTTGACCGCGACCTCCTATTTCAATTAACAAAGCGGGAAAACATTGCGTAGGGTTTTTTTGTGTTGTGTTGAAAAATCATGGAAGGTAGAGGCAAGGCAGTATGAAATGCCGTATTTGGAAAGGGAATGTCGTTGTTCAAGTATGGTTAGCTGTATCAGTGGTTCTCATACTTTAAGGTCATACAATTCTGCGGTGTCCTCATTGGCATCACCTAGCACGTGCTACAATTTTTATGAGTTATGGAGAGGCTTTATTGGCGTAAGAATGGTAATTTCCTACAATTCAAAGCAAATCATCTCATTAAAGCTATTAAATGAAAATAGGTTTTCCCCATTATCGTGCGCAACACAGATTAAGGGAGTTAATGGGACTAGTTTTACAATTTACTTAATGCACAATACATAGCTCACTCACAAACTTACTTCCGGAAAATAAAATATTCAATATTGGAGTACAATTAAGACATATTCTGATTGTCAAGAAATGCCGTTTTAATCTCACTAGGGCAACTTGCATTAAAGAGGTTGGGAAATGAGCGCCTACTGTTTTTGGAAAAGTAGAACAGTATCTACGAGAGACAGCAATCACAAAATGCAACGTCTAAATGGCTTCCTAACACAGGCATTGACGAGCATCTTGCCAGCATCCCAGTATCTAAATCTGCAATGAACTCATGGCTTACATTTGTATGTACGGTGTCAAAATAATCCTCTCAGGCAAGGTGGATCGACACAAGTATCTGGTTAGTTGTCTGTAGTTGGAGCACTTACAGGCACTCACGTGCGGTCAAACGAAGTGACTGCAAAGCCTGGGGTAGACGCCGCGATTCACAAAGAAGGGTTCTGAAATTATCGGTCTCACTTATGGTACATGACACCAATTTTGCTAAAATAACTTAGCGTTGGTTCCCACAGAACACCGACAATACGTTATTACTTCAATTTCCGCAATTAGTAATGATCTGACCCGACGTCCTCGACAGCCAATTCTGGCCTGCAACGTAAAAATTACAACCTGACAACACCCCGCTTACATCGATGGGGCTCATTAACTAGTAATGTTTGGGAGTTTGTACAGCCTCAAAAGAAACCAGACTCAACGTGAGCCATCCCTTCACAACGAGATCGCAGCCAAAACTTACTGGAGAAGGTGGACACTACCAACAGTCACAGGAAAGCGGTAAGGCAAGACACCAAAATCAGCTGATTATTAAAATCTGCCAAATTAAGGGAGACATTGGGGGCGGGGAGCGAGCAGGCGGTCGAAGACGCGTACAAGAGGAGGTACAAAAGAGGGGCACACGCGTCCACCCTAATCCTCATGGAAGAAGTAGTTGCCAGACCGCTTCTGTTCTACATCCTTCACGGAATTCAGTTTGTTAATGCGCGGACGGCAGTTACGAGAATCACGGCGGAAGGTGATGTTTAGGGCTTGCAGAAACTTGTTCATTCCCGAAACCATGTTCTGTGGACTAAAAGGGAGCGACAAAAACACCCTTTCTACATTAGACCACAGATCTACCTCTTGTGAAAGCATGACAGTAACATAGGTGAATGTTTGGTACCAAATCGGATTTCCGCAGCAGACACGTTCGAGTTTCAAAATTATGTACTCACAAACACAAACCAAAATACACACACAATTCGCTTAGGAACGAATTCCCACTATAAACTTATCTCAACATTAATTGAGTTGAGGACGGGCTCATTAACCGTCAAATTGTTTTAAAACGTTTGTTTAGAACAACAGTGGAATGGAAGGAATGATGAGCAGGACAAAGGAGAAAAACGTGTGAGTGTTACTTAAAAGATGTATAGGCTTCGATAAAAGACAAGACTCCACGAGGCAAAAAGAGAGGAGCGGTGTTGAGAACTAACCTAGTAGCCACAGCGTGAACACCCGGGGTGCCCTCAAATACAACAACACGATCAGCCAGATAGGTGGCCATAATGAAGTCGTGCTCCACGACAAATGCTGTTTTCTTAGCGTGCATGACGAAGCGTTTTATGACCTTTGCGCAGTGCAGACGCTGCTCGGAATCCAAGTAAGCCGATGGTTCGTCTATTAGGTACACGTCGGCCGGCTGGCCCAGGCACAGCGTGATTGCGAGACGCTGCAACTCACCACCGGACAGATTCAGCACCTGCGATTGACAAAAAAAATAAAAAAAAACGTAGCCAAACTCATCGTCACACACTTAAAGCTTACCTACAGTGGCAGATTACATTAAGGCATTGATTTAATAGGGATGCACGATCCCAGTAAGCAGTAAGTTTAACACGACAGTGATAATGAGTACCCTCAGGAAAGAACAAAAGTTCACATCTAGTATGACTGGTGTGCGGTTTTGAAATTCCAAGAACTAGCTCCCGCACTGATCATTGCCAGCATGGAATGAACCGGAGTCCTCAAAGTGAACTCGAATAAATGGCGGCGTCACAACTCTTTCCATAGCATTATTAAAACTCTGCAAACTTAATGTTAAAATGGAAAATAATGCAAAAGAAATAAAATGCATCAAAGTACTTTAACATAATCAATTATTTTTGAAGTAATAACACAAAATAAGGGATAATAATATAGCAACTTGGTCTGTGTTAAAAAAGTACCGACTCCTGACCTGACGACTTTGCCCATTACCCAAGGATCACACAGCTTACTGAATCACACTGTTCAACGTTAAAGTACATCGTTCTCATTACATATGACAAAGCATCTAACGGAAATATCTTTTGCAAAAGGCTTAAGTAAAAGATCCACATAGCGGTCATAAATAAAAGTAGGGTTTCTCAGTATGAGAAACCGCAGGAAGTGCACACCAACGGACAATCCGTTAAAGTAGCTATGGTAAATTGAAGAATTTCAATACTTTGTACTTGCCTCTTGATCATACAACCGTTCCATTTGCAGAGGTTTGAGAACGTCAGTGGCAAACTGCGGGTGAGTGAAGGCGGCACGCATCTTTTCGTAGAGCAAATTTTGCACAGTCTTCTCCGATTTGGGACTAATCTTCTGTGGCTTGTAGGAAATGTTCAGCGGGGGCATTTTTACCCCCTCATCGGGTTTAAGGTTGCCAGCGAGCATTCGGATAAAAGTGGTCTTGCCGGTACCATTTTCACCCAGCATCACGATGATCTCGGAATCCGTGAAAGTACCAGACTGGATCTCAAGTTTGAAAGAACCTAAGGTCTTCGTCATCGTTGGATACTCATATCTAGCCATACGCTTAATCTCCTCCTCATTTCCGGTTTCAGAAACCTAAATTCAAAATAATAAGGTGGAAAACGTAATTAACAGAAAACACCAAAAATTAATTGAAGTATTTACCTTGAAAATCAGAGGAGTGTCGCGGAACCGCAGATTTTCAGTTGGGACCATACCATCAAGGAAGATATTGATACCCTCACGAACAGAGAAGGGCATGGTGACAACACCATAGGCTCCAGGCACACCGTAGAGGCAACATATGAAGTCTGATAGGTAATCAAGGACAGACAGGTCGTGTTCAACCGCAACTACATAATTAGTTTTCTATGAGGCAAAAGTGCAAGTGCAATTACAGAACCTACATCAAGCAAATTACGAATAGTTATGGCGGCATTTAGACGCTGCTTAACATCGAGATAGGAACTTGGTTCATCGAACATGTAAATGTCAGCTTTCTGAACACAAACCATTGCACAGGCGAACCGTTGCAGTTCACCACCCGACAACTCGCTGACCTGACGATCCACCAGATTTTTCAGGTCCAAAATATCCAGGATTTCGTCCTGATTGCCACGATCGTCCTTGCGATTGAGAAGATTTTTTACGTAGCCCGATACGATTTTCGGAATTTGGTCAACGTATTGAGGCTTAGAAACAGCCTTCAAATTGTCTTCCAGAATTTTTGTAAAGTAATTCTGAAGTTCTGAGCCACGGAAATAAGTCAAGATTTCGGTCCAGTCGGGAGGATCCTTCAAACGAATTTCAAAGAGGTTAGCAGTAGTGTAAAGTACTTAAAACGTCGGCTGGACTAATAACTGAATACAATGAAGGAGAGAATCAAACATATACAGAACAAACCTTGTGACGACCTAGATTCGGTTTTAATTTCCCGTTAAGGATTTTCAGAGCGGTTGACTTCCCAATACCATTTGTGCCGACAAGACCAAGAACTTCACCAGGCCGCGGCATAGGAAGCCTGTGCAATTTGAAGGAATTCGGCCCAAAGCGGTGGGTTATTTGGCTCTCTAAGTTACTTGCCAAATTGATGATGGTAATAGCTTGAAACGGGCATTTTTTCAC